AGGCAAGCTCCCCACTAGGCTGGAGGCGGGCTCTTGGATGGGCTGGAGGCAAGCTCCCCGTTGGGTAAAAAGGCAGGCTCCCCGCTTGGCTGGAGGCAGGCTTCTAGCCGGGCTGGAAGGCAGGCTCCCAGCTGGGCTGGAGGCAAGCTCATGGCTAGGGCTGAGCATCGGGCGGGTTCGGGTCGGGCGGGTGGGTGAACCCACGACCCTTTCGGGTATCGGATGTGTAATTAGCCTATCCTACTCTATGTTTTTTTACCCTAAATTTTTCGGGTTTTAATGAGCTTCGGGTAGGGCGGGTTCGGTTCGGGTATCGGGTTATGTCGGGTTCAAGTAACTCATACAAAGTGTTCATAGACAAAATGTTCAAGTAAAATATATGGCAATTTGATACCAGTCTTTTAAACTTATAGAACAAAGTAAAGAATACACAGTTTCATAAACAAATTTAATACAAGTACGCAAAATTACAAAATTAGAACAAAGTTTAATAAACAAACTTTAGAACAAACTTAAACAAATTACAAAATGCTACATAATTCATTAACATCCTTCACCAGCTTCAAGTTTCCACCTGCATATGTATAAATGTATAATAAGTCAATTATACATGTATAATAAGTCAGAGTAACTTGGATAAGTTAATGAAACAAAATAACAAATCAGAAAAATCACTGACTCAGAATGCTTGTTATCCTTCACCAGGAATATAGAGGCAACTGCTACAATTTCAGTTACAACTTACATGTTGTGAACTGAAAGAGCTATACCAACTTTAAACCATACATTCAGTAATGTGTGGAAGCTTCATCATAGCCAATGAAATTTAATATAAATGATATAGTCAAGGATTAATGGGATTATGAGTTACTTACACAAAACCTGAACAAGTCAGAGCAAGGGACAAGAGTCCAGGGACAGTTCACAGTTGCCAGAATGCTTTCCAGAATGACATAATCATACTCATAATACATTATACATAATCAGAGAGCTCAGAAGTCAGAATGCACATGAAAAAACAACCACATAAGTCAGAAGTCAGAAGTCAGAGGCTGGAAGGTTAATAGGGCTTGTCTAGTGTCTTTAGCATGGGGGTTTTTCATGCAATTAAGCATGTGATTTCTGATGGAGGAAGTTCCATGTTTCTTAGAGTGACAACAGTATATTTTTGCACAGTATATGCACCTCCCCTTAATAACCACACCCTTTTCATCCTTAATTTCATCAAAGTGATCCCAAATCTTAGATCTTTTGTCAACCACTTTTCTCTTTTGTCCAGAAACAGCAGGTGGTGCAGTCTGCTCATTGGTAATGTTAGGCTCAGGAATTTGACTTTCCACCACTGTTTCTTGACTCAGAGGAGGTTGAGATCCAGATGTAGAAAAGGTCACACATTCTTCAGGGTCCATCTAATGTAAGCAAGTAAGCAACACATGATATATTGATATGTGTATACTAAGCTTCCACAGAGTTCATACCTCACAGATAAGGCAAGTACGCAACACATGAATAAGAGTTGTACATATGCAGTCAGTAAGAGCTTCCACAGAGTTCATATCTCACAAATAATAACCATAATATGTAAGTCTGGAACAATCAGCAAGCTGATTTACAGAAGGATAAAAGCACTTTGCTTTTTCACTTCTCTACAGACTCTGAAGAACCCAGTTCACTCTTTGTACTCGTTTGAGTACTAGAGTTGAAAAAGGCTTCTTCATCAAAATAATAAGGCAGTTATGTTACTTATGTACAACAAACAACATAACAGGGACAACTGGATAACCGTAGTCAGTACTCAGTAGGCAACACATGAATATAGAATATATAGCTTGATTAGCTTCCACACTTCATTCATATTTCAAATAAACAGATTTGAAATTCTGAATGCATCATAATATACATCAACAATTAACAGGGACAACAGGATAAGTGGATAACCGAACATTCGAACAGATTTGTACATGCAAGTTTCACAAATATACGAACATCACAAGACTAATCACAACTCAGAACATCCATGCATCATCATTCATCAAGGACTAAACTTACCATAATACGAATAACGGAATAAGTATTTTATACCTCAACGGCTCGAGACGAAGGAGATGAAAGGCTTCCACTAGGTTAGAGAGTAGAGACGGTAAACCCTACAAGGAGATGAAGGCTTCCACTCGGTTGAGGACTACAGGCCTACAGCCCTACAACGACGGCAACGGCGGCCGACGAAGTGAGAAGTCAGACCAAATTAGGGTTAGCCGCTTAGAGAGTTAGAGAGAGAGAGTCTGAGAGTGTAAGTTAGGATTAAGTGGTTAACCGGCGAAGGGAAATGGGGATAAGGGAAAGCCGGAAAGGGACTAAGGGAGTGGGCTAATGGGCTTGGGGAGTTGGGTAATGGCCTTATAGGCTTGGGTAGCTGGGGAGTTGGGTAATGGGCTTAGGCTTGGTCGGGTTTTCGAGCGGTTCGGGTAGGGATTAGGAGGACCCAAAAAGTATAGGGTGGGCGGGTCGGGTCAACCGACGCAATCACAAAAAATCGGGTTCACCTGATCGGGTTATTCGGGTAGGGTCGGTTTTGCTCAGCCCTACTCATGGCTGGTAGGGTGGGCGAAAATCTCGGTCCCGGTTTCACCTAGGCAAAGGTATTGCGATGGCTTGGGTGGGATTTTTGCCCGGGAAAGGTAGGAAAGGGTCTAAGCAAGGGGCTATGGGTTGTGGGTGTGAGTTTGGGGGTTGGAGAGGGGGCTTACGACAGCGGTGGTAAGTTAGGTGGGCCATACGGCGGCGGTGGAAAGCGGCGGCGGTGGCCGGAGTTGGGGTGGTCATTGTGACCGGAGTCACTTTTGATAGGAGTCACTTTTGACATGAGTCACCTTGGTCAGAGTTACTTTGGCTGGAGTCACTTTGGCCGGAGTCACTGAGATAGTGACTGCCGGCGGTGGCACGGTGGCGCCGGTGGCGGCGGCAGTGGTTGTGCTGGGGTCGGTGGTCCGGAGGTGTTGGTGGCTAGGAGTAGTAATCAAATGTATAAAAGAAATATTAAAATAATAAATACTACCTCCGTCCCAAATTGATTTTCAAATTTGACTTTTCTTGGTCAAAGAGTTTCATTTTATTTGCTTAATTAGGATGTCAATTTTTAATAATATTCTAATTTGGAGTTTACAACTTTGAAGAGATTTTAATATAGTTTTTGAATATATAAATTTTAATTATTAAAAATGGAATTAATTATTGATAGGGAGCATTGACTTTTTTTATTGGTTGACCAAAAAATATTAACTTTGCAAAACAATTTTGGACGGATGAAGTATATGATTAAAAACAAGGAATAAATGACTTTTAGTCACATTTTTGGAAAAATTTAAAACAAGTCATTTTTTTATCATTTTAGTAATATTGGAATAAAAAGGTCGGTGTATTAGCCCCACGGTTGGCAATCCCAAAAGGATGTGCCATTTCTTTGAGCAATAGGACAACATAAGTTTGTCATGTTCCTAAGATTGATCGATTGATATGTGTCCCGATAGTTTGATGTGTCTGTGACAAAAGTCTAATAATGAATGGGGTGAGGTTTCCCTTGCAAAAGTACTCCTCTCTCTATCTTGAGTTATTTGTTCACCAGAAGTGATGAAAGGATTGTGGCATGGTCTACAGCTTTGGACGTTTGGAATATGCAGTCTAGCGTGCGAGGTTAACAACTTAACATCAATTCATGTATCATGTCATAAGATGCGAGTCAAATTAATCTTAAATTATGGCAAAAATATGGAATTATTGTGGTTTCATTCATGAAGTGGATAACTCCACTAATGAATTTACATCCCATGTCATAAACAATTCATAACAGTTGAAAACAATATCTTTTTTAATACTTGATGACTCTATTGAATAATAAATATTTGAATCTCATCTATAATCTCTTTAGGGATTTCAGCGTAGGGCATATTGAAGACAGACACTGTATGGTATTTGAGAAGATGAAAATCAAGAAATTGAGTTTTTTTAAAGAACAAAGTAAAGTTTAAATGGTGCTTAAACATTCGACCTTTATATTGCCATAAATGTATTGATAAACCCAGCTATGAGTTTTGCCCAGCTATGAGTTTTGTTGCTACTGCCCCGATTACTAGTGTAAATTCTTGAGGGTTTCACATCATGTTAGATTTGCGGTTAAACATTTGTTTTAGTTTATGGATTAATCCTAATTTCTTCACTAGTTATCACATCTTCGTTATCGTAATTTGTTTTTCAAAAATATTCTGTGTACCCGACCCAGTCCGGCCCAGTGTCCTGGCTCCGCCCCTATCACCTATTCACCGGACATGGTTACTCCCCTTTCACATACATACTCTACTTTGGCAATAGTATCCTCTCCCAGAAATATGCAATTTAATAAAATCAGAAACCTCTCATTTACAATAGACGAGTATCATGCAGTTGTCAATGCCACTAGTCGAGTATTTACATACATTTCCGCTAAAACTAAACTACACATCAAATTGTCTACACATCGAGCCCGTTTGGTGAGCTCTTTTTTCGGCTTATCAAGCTTAGCCAGCCTTTTCACCAAACACGTAACGTTTGATTTCGCGCGCTGAATTTTGTAATAAGCAGAAAAAGTAAGGTTGGAGTTACTTTTCTAACTGTATCGAAGTTACTGTAGAGGACCATTTTAGCTATTTTTACATATAATTTTATCTTTTTTTTATTAATAAAATATATTTTAAATTTAATTTTTTCATGAATCAACAAAATCAACCAATACAACCACTTCAGCTAGAACTTCATAAATTTCAGCAGAATCAGCCGATTCAACCGTATTCAGTGTTACCAAACACGCTCATCATTTTTGATTTCATATTCATCATCAGCGATTCAGCATCATTATAAATTATCAAAACATTTAATGTAAGAAAAAAAACTTTACTTTCAAAGTTAGCTTACCAAATGGGTTTCTTGAATCAATGGCAAGAACCAAATCCATTCATATGATGATATCTCCCTTTAATCATTGCCGAGAATGTGAAAAAGAACACATTGATGGATGCAAGTACAGAAAAATGGGGGTTAAACAAAGGTAGTATTTAACTGAACAAGAAGGATTGCAACCTGTATTTTAACACAAATTTCCGGGCAGTCCAAATTTGCAGAGAAACTAAATCTCCACTGCAATGAAGAGAAAGAGATGGATCTCAACTCCAAATAATTTATCTACATGTAAGTAACTCTTTCTTGTTAACAAAAGAAAGAAAAAAGAAATGCAAAGAATTTAACCAGAGTTTTAATCACCAAAGGTAACATGAAAAAAAGAGCAAGAACTTCATAAAAAATGAAGAAGCTGAAGACCATGGGACAAATGTGATCATGATGAATTCGCACGGCTGTTCCCAAGCTTGAGCTCCAGATCATCCAATCCCACCTCATGAATTCTTTCCCCTTCCCACGCCTTCATAGCAACCTTCTCAAAGTCAAACTCCATGCCCTTCCCCGCTTCCTCCCTGAACAACATTTCACCCCCCATAGAAGAAGGAACACCCTGAGCAGCAGCAGCAGGTTTCACAAGATTAAATGTGGGGGAAGTGGGTGCATACTTTTGGAAGCTCATCCATTGACCCGAATCAATGGTTGAAGTGTCTGATTCATCACATTCGGGAATAGTTGCAGGAAAACGCTGCCCACGGGTAGGGCTGCTTGGGGCAGATGCAAAGAAAGAGATGTTGAAGGCAGACATCGACTGTTTGGCCAGAGTTTCCAGATTGAAAGCAACCTGTTTTTGATGTCGGGTTGGTGAGGAAAGAGGTGGAGTTACAGGAGCGCTGTTTGATATGCGCAGGGAAGGAAGGGATGAGGTGATGCCATTATGGAGGAACGCAAATGGGTAAGATGAGTTGTCAGGACCAGGTTCGCCGCGGGTCGGGCTAGGGCAGGCAGAGGACAATGGACTGACTTGGTAAGATGGGATTGGGGTGGCAAAGTATGAAGATGGGGGGCTAGGATTTCGTGAAGAGCTGGGAGTGATGTTTGTTGAAGTGCCTCCGACCTCCATTGGTATTGGGCCTCCGATTGGCTTCCGTCCCTGAACAGCAGTTTACCAGTTAGAGAACATAGCACCATGTAGTGGCCTTTTAGTAACCCCTTCTTTCAGTATTTTGGCTTATCAGATTATTTACCAGTCACTATACTGAAAAATGCTAAAATAGTACTAGTATTACATAGGATCTAAGGAGCTTATTCAAGTTGATTTGGTGGAAATGGCCTTATTTACCACTGTAGCCTTTTTTTTGCATAGATTTTTTCATTATTATATAAATAAACTTTACTAGGATATAACTTTTTCATTATTCAGATAATTCAGCAACTTCACCAACACATGATGCAAAAATTCAACAATTTCAGCCATTTTTAGTCAAATTCACACTTGCTAAAGCGGCTCTTGATTGATCAATTGAACAACTCAGCATTTCCATTATTCATAAAGAGAATTAATAATTAACCACAAAAGCAGCAGAGCTAGCTTTAATTCTCATTATAATCAGATAGCAGAGATTGGGGGTTGTTGAAGCACAAGGAGATAACTCCTATGCTTGACTAAGTGCTTAGTGGTCTAAAATGTGGACAAAAATGCTCCCATCCAAAGCAAAACCCCAACTCAATTAAATCCTCGATTTGGAGAAACAATTTTAGGGAAATTTGAGAACTAATCTCCAAGTGTTATTTCTATTTCGAGAAATTGCACTGTTTGACTAGTGTCAATATTGGAATCCTGGAAATTGTAAGCATCAGACCATGCCAAATCAAAACTCAGAAACAGATAAGCAACTTTTCGATAGGATTTGAAGTATGAGATCTTTTAAATCAAAATCAAACTAGATAAACCTTCAGATCTGCAGAAAAATAGATAAAATCTCCGGAAAAAGTGAATTTAAAGTGTCGGAGAGCAAGGGAGAGATGAACCTTGCGATAAGTGGTGCCATCAGGCTCGACAACCCAGCCAGCTTCAGAGCAAAGAGCCTTGAGGACCTCGTTGTTGTCACAGTGCTTGGGAAGGTTGTAGTTCCCCTGAGCTCTCAGACCTGCATATATCTTCGCAGCTATGGCTCTCCTCCTCCTCTCTCTCCTCCTGTTGTTCTCCCTTTCCCTCCACGACGGCTTCCTCCTCCCGCTACTACTTCCGGTGCAACCTCCGCCGCCATCGACGCCGGCAGCGGCTGATTCTCCGCCTTCCCACATCATTTCTCCTCCTCCTCCCTCTAGATGATTACTAATGCGGGCCCCGTTCAAGGAGGGTAGCGTATATTGCGTTTGCTCAGAGTACTCACTCACGAGGAACACGATCTCATTGCCTCTGATTTTCTGGTTTTAGAAGAATCTCTCTGTTTCTTACTCTCTTTTATGTGTCTTTGGTGTTTTTCGCCGGGCATTTATATATAACACAAAAGATTTACGTACTTTTTTAGTTTTTGTCAAGGAACTAGTTTGTTTTGATCTGACATATTCACATTTCTTTCGACCAATATTTTCAATTTATCATTTTTATTTTTACCTTTTTGTCGGTTAAAGAATTTTTTCACTCACTGAATTGATAAATTGAGTAATAAAAAAAAGAAATTTTGAAATTACTTTTCTATCTGAAATTCTTCAAGAGATATATACAGAGTATTAATTATTTCTAGATATACATTTCTCAGAATTCAACAGATTTAACCAATCAAGACCCTTCTGAAAAAAGTTCACCAATTGAGAATATTTAACTGATTCATTAAGAGGGTGTTTGGAAGAGTAAAAATGGGCTCATCATGCTGAAAATATGTAAAAATAACCAAACACTCTTCGATTGGCTGTTTTGGTTGATTTCTATGATCAACTGAAAAAGTGACTTCATGGTTACTTTTTGAGCTGATTTTTATTTTTATGGTGTTAAGAGGTTAAAATACACCTATAATCAATATATTTCCTTCAGAATCGCATAAAACATGTTTGTTGTACTTAAATTAGTTAAATGATGATTCAATTGACATGCGTAATTAAATCAGATCATTCCCATTCATACCTTTTAAACAAATTGATTTTCTCCTATATTTAAGGTGACAACTCCGGTACCCATTTTAAAAATGGGGTACCGTACTTATCATTCACTTGATTGGTGGAAATCATTACATCATTTTTAATTTAGATTTAAATAATTCAACTACTTCATTCTGATTGGTCCATGTGGACAAAGATACGATACCTTAAAGGTACCGTAGAATCTACCTATATTTAATTGACACGTCATTCACACACTAAATTTTACTCCGTAATTAATTTTACCGTTCAGAACTCTTCATCAAAAGTGATATTCATAATATAAATTCTTTGTACGTAGAACATGTACTAATATATTCTAACTACATTACTGCAATATTAATACTACGTAAATACAGGATGTGCATATCGGTACCAACACTAGTTATTAAAAAATCTTTCTTCTCAATAATCTTTAAAATGATCGATCACATCATTTAATTAATCTTCAAAATATTTAATTAATGAGGGTTCTTTAGACTGATTGATATTTAATTTTTTAATTAATAATAAAATCTAGTTGAATAATATTAAATAGATTATATCAATTCAAGACAAGATTTCCCCTATTGTTGTATATTATGCTAATTATACATGTACGCCCACATGCGTATTGCCTCGCCCACGCTTTCATTAATTAGTTCTTCAACCACGTAAATGTTTTGAAAACCCAACATTTACATATTATAATTAATTAATCTTTGAAGTTTAGTAGTGCTTCTACAGTTCTACCCATCACTTGTGTCAATTAGATTTCAATTACTGTAAATATTAATTTTTTAACTGTGGACGTTAAATTGGTTGGGGAAAAAATGAAAGGATCGGAAATTATTTTGTTGAAATACCAAAATCATCGAACCACCTTATCATTTTCTCATACATTGCATAGTTTATTAATTTTGTCAATGGAAAATGTATTCATAAATCATAATGTTATGAATTTAATTACTCGTTTTACCCACACTTTTGATAGGGTGGGATTAGTTTGGCTTGAATTGGGTTCATGCTAAATTCAAAAAGTATCTTAAATTCTCGAGTTATGAAAGTGCCGGACCAAAACAATATCCAATATCCTGATTGAGAAATGTTAAAGTAGAGTTGGACTCGGGCCGGGTGCAGTAGTGGACCCACCAAGGGTCCCACGGGGTCCCGGGACCCCATGAACTTTCAAAAAAATACCTATATATATTATATGTATTTTATATAAATTAATAATAAAATGTATATGTAAGACGGAAGCTAATTAAGAACATGAACTTGACATTGGAGCAATGGAAGCACACTTGAATTTAAAAGTTTAGTTGTCTCGGAGGTCTAGGGTTCGTCTCCCTTAGGTGTTTTTTTTTGTTTTTTCCCTATTTATTAGGGAAAACAACTTTTTTTGACAAGGGAAAACAGTATAAATAGTACTATAACACTAATACATAGCAATTTATGTAGAAAAACATTAGTCATTTAATTCATAAGAAACTTGTATCAAATGTCTTAAATTAGTGGATTTTTTTTAAAAGTGACTCCATTTTATTTTTTTTCTACACTCAAATAGTTGACATTATTAAAAGTTTTTTCTAAAGTATGTATTATTATTGGTTCATCGAAGATAGTTTGTATTAGGGGTAATTTGAGTTTGCACTCCATTTTATTGTCCAAATTGGACTTTGCACCCCGTTTTTAAAAATATTTATTTTTGCACCCCAACCCGCATGAAAAGACAAAAATGCCTCTCGATCAGGAATATTTTGAAGGCCAACAAAATTGTTACTGGAAGGGCAGTTTTTGTCTTTTCATAAGGGGTTAGGGTGCATAAACAAAGATTTTTAAAAATGGGGTGCAAAGTCCAATTTGGACAATAAAGTTATTTTCCCTATTTATTATTTTAAGGTGCCATAAATAACCATTCTTTTAGAAAATTATTGGAATAAACATACTATAATGATAGGATATTATTTTTCTATCTGTGACATAAATATTATTTTTCTAAATGAACGATTATTAATTTTCTAAACAAACGATTATATATGTCACTTCATTTTCTGAACGATCTTAGTTTTATACAATAGTATTAATTAGAGATTAGAGATATAAAAGGGTAGGGACCCCGTGACTCCGACTTTCTGGGTCCGCCACTGGCCGGGTGGCCCGACCCGGAACCGGCCCGGGACCGATACTGTTCCGGCCCGCACCGAACCGGTGGCCTGGTCAATGACCGGTCCGGGTAGGCTCGACCCGGTGGGTTTCCGGTCCGGGCTCGGGTCACCCATAACAAGGCCCGGGCCCGGTTCGGGCCAATTTTTTTTTTTTTTCATTTGTTTGGGCTCCACCGGGTTGGGCTTGATATTTAGGAGGGGTTTGGGGGGTTTGGGGGGGTGGGAGTGAGGGGGGTCAGGGATGGGTAGCTAAGCAAAAAAAAAAAAACCCAAGGCCCGGCCCGGACCCGGACCGGACCCGGTGGCTACCCGGGCCGGTTCTGGGTCCAGCTATATAGAACCGCCGGCCCGACCGGGCCCGACCCGGCCCGAGTCCAACCATATGTTAAAGGTACCTATAGCATTACTCATACGGATTTGAGTCATGCTATCCAGATTCAGTTCAGATTCGAATATGGTCATTGGTGTTGAAACAAGAGTAAATTCCCTAAACGGGACTAAAAGAATAAAAAATGCAAAACTAGGACTACAATGTTTTTTTGGACTTTTTAGGACTAAAATGTAGTAGCTTGACAAAATTACTCTTACTATTAAAACTTCAGTCTACATCGCAGCAAACCATTCTCCTATGAACTGCAGTTCAGTCACCGACTATGGCCTCGCAAGTCGCAAGGCACCTCCTCCGTCGACCGCAAGTAATCTTTTTCTTCCTCTTCTTCTTCTTCCTCTTCTTCTTCTTCTTTCTTTCTTTCTTTCTACTTCTTCTTCCCCTGGTGCACTTCTTCCCCCTCCTGCACTCTGTTTTCTGTTTTTTTCTATTCATCTATTACCTTTTTAAATTCTATTTATTGATTTGGATTTTTTTGGATTTGAATTTTATGTATTCAGAAAAATGTCACTTTTATAATCTGAGAATGTCAAAATTATTGGTTATTTGAAAAAACTGACACGTTTGTGGTAGTATATATATATATCAAACTGACAATCTGAAAATGTCATATGTCCATAAGAAAATGTCATTGTTATGACATTTTATGGCATTTTTATGGCTTATCCGAGAATGACATAACTGAGAATGTCATATTTTTATACGAAACTTCCATCATCATGTCATTATTCTTGACATTCTCACTGGAGGTCTGCAAGTACAAAACTTGGGATTTTGATATTTTCAGATTTCAAATTAATAAATAAAATTCAAATCCAAGAAAAAGAAAAAAGGAGAAGAAGAAAAAGGAGATGAAGAAGAAGAAAAAGAAGAAGGGGAGAAGATTACCTACCTGACTTGGCTGAAGAAGAAGGGAAGAAGGGGGCTGCGTTTCATAGCTGGCGGAGTGGTTGCGTTCAATCGCAGGCGAAGGGCAGCAATCGCAGGCGAAGGCAAAATTGCAGATTAACGAGAATTGATTGGGAGAAGAATCCCTCGATTAGGTTTAATACATCAGAAGCAAAATTGTAATGTGGAGTCCTATTTAGGGAATAATAAAATTGTAAATCAAGTGGAATTGGGCGAGAAATCCATATGCTTAGACATTGATGCTACTATTTGCTTTTTTTACATTTTGTAGTCTTTTGGCCATTTTGAAGTCTTCTTTTTACATTATTTAATTGCCTCCTCTTTTTTATTTTAGTAACGACTATAGAAGTACCTTATGATATGATTACATCACTGTGACACTTCAAAGGAGAATGTCACATGTTCAAATCTCATTCCAGTTCAAGTATGCTGGTCTTAACATAGAATAAATACTACTCCGTATAATAGATTAGGAAGTTCCGCAAAAAACTAAGCTGGGAAACTATTCTTTTAGAGCCCGTTTGATAACACGAAAATCAGCTGATTCGACTGATTCTGCTAAAATTTATGAAGTTCTGGCTGATTCTGATGATTTAAGAAAAGATTATTTTTAAAATATGTTTTAATAATAAAATAATGAAAAATTATATGTAAAAATAGCTGAAATGGTCATCTAAATAACTTCAGGCAATACAACCAGAAAAGTAACTTCAACCTTACTTTTTCTTATTATTACACAATTCAGCGCGCGAAAACAAAAGTTACGTGTTTGGTGAAAACGTTGGCTGATAAGCCTGATGAGCCGTAAAACAGTGTTACCAAATGGTCTCTTAATTTGTATTATATTTTTTGTGAGTGAAACTAACAAACTTTTTTATGAAAATTATTTTATAACCATTTTAATTATTTCTATTGCGCAATTTGTTTTAATTT